AGAGAGAGAGAGAGAGAGAGAAAAGTTCTTGCCTCATTAATGAATTGTTTATTTTTTTCAGTATTTAATTGACAAATTATCCTTTCAAATAATTAATTGATGGAGTTACATAATTGTCCATTAGAATTGTTGAATGGACTGAGTCAAGTTTGGTGCACTTTATATATTTTAAAACATGTTTTTTTTAATGATGCATATAAATAATTTAAATGTTAATTTAATGAAATATTTCTATTTTTTCATTACCTCACCCTTGTTTTGACAAAAACGGGACCTTGCTGGATAATATCATGGAGAAACTATTTGTTCACAGTACATGGCTCAGTGAGGATCTGTATACCAAAGGAGGAGATACTCAGAAATCTGTCTGCAGATTGTTACAACCCAGACTGGAAGTGGTGGGCTGTAATAAGAAAGGAGACCAAACAGAGGAGTGGGGGTTCAACAACTGATTTATTTAACAAAAGTAAGGATTTACTAAAGCAAGTTAGTGAACAGAAAATGGCCATCTCAAGGTTTTACTCGGATGTCCCTCAGCAGGGACCTCACTTACTTTGGTTAAATAAATCAGTTGTTGAACCCCCACTCCTCTGTTTGGTCTCCTTTCTTATTACAGCCCACCACTTCTAGTCTGGGTTGTAACAATCTGCAGACAGATTTCTGAGTATCTCCTCCTTTGGTATACAGATCCTCACTGAGCCATGTACTGTGAACAAATAGTTTCTCCGTGATATTATCCAGCAAGGTCTTGTTTTTGTCAAAACAAGGGTGAGGTAATGAAAAAATAGAAATATTTCAATAAATTAACATTAAAATTATTTATATGCATAATTAAAATAAAAAAACATGTTTTGAAATATATAAAGTTCACCAAACTTGACTCAGTCCATTCAACAATTCTAAATGGACAATTATGTAACTCATCAATTAATTATTTGAAAGGATAATTTGTCAATTAAATGCTGAAAAAAATAAACAATACATTAATGAGGCAAGAACTTTTTAAACTTGAGCATACCTACACCCACAAGTCTATTTTTACCTGGTTAAAACCATCTAGCTTATGTGCACTTTTTAAAACACTGCCCAGCAAACATTCGGACGTTTAATGACAGTTGAACGGTCACAACTGTAAAATAATATCACAGGAATTAGGAAAGAATAATGACATCAACTCTATGTTCCTTGGCAGGACTCGAACATGGATCCTCCAGAGTGAGAGTCACCCGCTCTCGCAGCTGAATCTCAGATTTTTTTATATAGATAGGTAGAGAGTAAAGTGCGGGGTAAACTAACCAATCAGAGGACAGGGAAGATCTGCCACTGGCCACGCCTCCAGAGTGCCAAAAGCCCTCACAGCCGAGCGAGTGGAATTAGAAACCGAGCGCGCAGAGGCTGCCGAGCACGCAGAGAGGCTGCCGCGCGCGCACGTTTTCCTCTGCCGTGTGCTCGTTGGCAACGCGCGCACGCAGGTTTGTCACTTGTGCACATCCTTGTGCGCTCACAGACACAGTTTGCTCCCTCTCAGTGCACAAATGACCTCTCGCCATGTATATTTTCGCTCGCGAGTCCCGTTCACGCGCGCGCGCTGCCATGTATATTTTCGCTCGCGAGTCCCGTTCACACGCGCGCTGTGGACCCAATGCGCGTGCACGGGTTGTGGCACGGGTCTGACGCGATACCCGTGCGCTGGACGCAGCCGCCTGGAGCGCACCAATGATCAGCTCTCTGACGCTCTCTGTGCTGTCTGCTCAAGCAAACACCTGGTACACTGAGAGTCCATAAATGATGTAATATAGGTAGAAACCTTTTTTCCGGCCTTCCCTGGATGTGTAGGATATTCAGCTCCCCCTTAATTTGATCCCTGCTCCTGGATGAAAAAACGGACCCCCGTGGAAAAGAGGATGTATACTCACCCTAAAGCGGGAGATTGTAGATGCAGCATTTTGCTCGTGCCCTTGCTGCCCTGTGCCTGGGCCCTTTAGAGTTTGTGGACCCCTGGGCAATTGCCCAGTTGCCCGTATGGTTAATCCGGCTTGATCTGTATACAAGTGATCCACACCAGCAAAAAAAAAAAAAAAAAAAAAAAAAAAAAAAAAGAACAATCACTTTCATTTTTGGTGGAATTGTGGTCAATTAGGGTTTAAATGAAACTATAAAATAGTTATTCTTGAACAGCTTCCGTTCCTCGCAGTTGTCCGGACCAGGTTTTGACGCAGCGCCGCCACTCGCCGGAGCTCTTGGATTGGCTGAAGGAGCAAGGTAGCCCGCAGAGTCGGCTCCAGCCCCCGGCCGGTTCAGTCCCGTCAGTGATACACATAAACACACACACACGCACGCTCACGCACGCACGCTGCTCTCACACTCTCCTCCACGCGTGGAAAGGTTCGGCAGACAGGAACTGTTTTTGGTGAGAGAGCATGAATTTGCCTTCAGGAGACCGACTCACACCTCCAACCACCCTGATGAACCTTTGAAGGAAAACGGAGGAAGATTTTAACGCAACATCCTTCTTTGGCGCACTCACGGAGAGCGATGCGGACACAGCTTCTTCTATAAAGTGTCACATGTGTGCAGAAACACTGCGCTGGCGCTGGAGAGCTTTTCTGCAGAGTCGTGTTTTACGCTCGGGGCTGTGAAGGCTGATTCTAGGACGGAAACAGTCAGGCAACAACCGTGTGCGTCTGGCAGAAGAAGAAAACCCCTCCCGGAGACTCGGACTTGCCTCAGAGCGCAGTTTGACTCCTCATGGTGATGAGGATGGTGAGAAGGAACGGTGCACAGACTGGCAGAGCAGGAGGAAGAGGGTTTAAATCCTCCTCTGAGATGTCCTGGCTGTTGCTCCTTCTCCTGGTGGATGTCGGAGGGGCTCAAGGTAAAACTTTAAAACATTATTCTGAAAACTCCTGGTCAAAGTTTGTCCTCTTCCTCCTGTAGCTTCAGAAGGCTGCAGTGGTCGGGAAAACCCCGGAATCTGTTTACGCACAAACTCAGGGCATCATTTAAACCTGCAGCAGATGTAGGCTGAATCAAAGGTCCACAGAGGGACAAAGGGCAGAAAAATCACAGTTCATGTTCATGTGAAGTTTAAAAATGACACTTGGAAACAAAAGCTACAACATTTATTATAATCAAGGTGAGAAATGCAAATTGAGAGCTTCTATAATGGGATTACAGCATTAAAACAAACTATTATTTCATTATCTGATCACATGTTGAAATAATAAAAAATCATTAACTTCATTAAAAACGAACTGAACCATTATCTGATTGAGCTGAAATCTGGTTTCCTGATGTATTTTGAAAGTCCAATCAGGCCCATATGGAGGCAAAGCCCACATGTCTGATTTACAACCAAGCCTGAAGCACAGATGTATTTGTATTTCCAGCCAAACTCTTCACATTTGCTGCTTTAATCATTAAACAAACACCAGTTTTGTTTTCATCCAGATTAGGATGGCTGATGCTGTTACTTGTAGCAGCTATACGCCAGAACACCTAGAGCTCTTTACTTAATCTCCTTTCCTCATGAGTGACATTTTCTGTCAAAGACGACTAAGAGGGAGCCTCGCTGTTGAGCTCTAATTGTTCCGTCTGTGTCTATGCATGGATTCAAGTGGGTGGTCTGTCTGTTTTCCTTCTTTTTTATGGACTTTAGCAGCAGAGGGGAAATTAGCAGATACTTTGACCTAAATATACCACTAGGAACTCTTTGCTTCTTCAAGCTCCTTTTTTCTTCTAATGGAGTTCACTCTGCAATGAAGACCTGCAAGCAACCTTATCGCTGCTCCAGATTGTCATCTCTCCTACATAGTTAATGAGCAAGAAAAAAGGGAAAGGCGGATTGAAACAGCACAGGACCGGCTTCTGAAGGACGGGGTGCGATGACATAATACCCTCTCGGAAACCCCTGAGAGCTTTGTGTCATTGACTAGATGGGAACACGAACAAGGTTCTTCTCTGTCCATTAAGAAGTCGATACAGCAGAGGAACATTGTTTGAGCTTAATTAATGGGCTTAGCTATTTCGGGCCACTGATGAGCTCCACACATTTCCAAATCGCCCGAGAGTCACTTTCTTCAGTGTACAACTACTGGTGATTAAAGTGGCTCACTTACAGGCGCTACTTGCACCCTCGATTAATCCCTTTGTTTCGCCCTTTTCAGTTATTTGAACACCTCTTTCGTTATGGTGTACGTCAATATGTTTAATCAAGCTGTAGATCTGGTTCCTTGAGACAACGTTGCCGTCCAATGTTTGAGTGCTTGTCACCCGGATTAACTCTTGACAAAAGGAGGCAGGTTGAGACGTATTTAAGCAATCTAGCTGAGAGCTCTGTGACAGTAGCGTGATTGGAAACTCTGGGTGAAAGAACAAATCTACCTTTAATATTTCCATGCACAGCAACATCTGCAGTGTTAATTGAACTCATGCTGAGTACACTTTACTCAAATAGAGTACTCTGAAAAAAGATCCCATGGACTCAAACGTACTTTCTCATGGCAGCGGCAGACCCCCACACCTCCCTGTGTCGAGCATCTACTACGACATGAGTGCTTAAAAAGAGACGGATGTAGTTTTAATGTGTAGATGGAAAGTTGTACAGGAGCGTGTTCCTCTGACATTAAAACGTATCAAATCGGCTCCGGGGGAAGAAAGCCTCGACAGAATGACTTAAATAGGGTTTTTAAACTTCTCTAAAATGAGATTATACCTGCAGCGTTCTGGAAATAATGTGCGATCGGACAAGGAAAATCCCATCTGAAGTGTTTTCTTACATGATTTCCTTTTTAAATGGCTGACCTTAAGGCTGACATTTATGTAGTGTTTTCCCTGTGTTAGCCAGAGGATACATGGGTGGTGAAGGCCGTCCTGGGATTGGTTCAGTTTTTCCACGGCACTGCTCTCACGTCTCTCCCTCTTCCCCTCACACACCGCTCCTGTCTCTGCTGCCTCTCAGCTTACGGGGGATGTGTCCTCTGAGGATTGTTTATGGAGGGGAAAGTTAAAGGATATTTGATATATATGGATTATAGACTAGCATGAGTCAGTGCCTTTAGACGAGAGCTGTACACCGCGGAAGACAGTTCCTTTCAGAACAATATGGGTGTTGTTTGAAGAATGCTCATAAATGTGAATGTTATTTTCATGGTTATTAATCCAACAGGCTTCCTTTGGGCCTGATGACAGGCAGCTTTGGGCTTCTAACAGCACAACCGCTACAGTCATATTTTTAAAAGGGGCCAAAGCACAATCAGCACATTGTGTGAAAGGAGAGCACTTATAAATGACCCATGTGAGCTGGAAAAATCACAGATTTACCTACAAACACATGCTCATAATTGAAGAATTTATTGTAACTGAAGGAAATTAGGGTAAAGTTACAGGTAAAATAGAGCTGAAGGAGAGTCTTTGCCTACAGTAGATTTCCTTCTGAGCAGGGTCAGAGTTGCATGCTAAGCCACAGATGGAGGATGGTAGCGAGTGATAATTACTGTGAAAAGAGGCTGCTGAGTTAGCATCCTTGCTCCACTTGATGTCATACACTATTGTTAGGACAGAAAAAGGTATGTGTGTTGGCTATTTCAGGGCTGGGAACAGTTCTGTGCCATGCTTTTGGTTGGGTGAGGTTATTTAGTGGTCTGCTGGTGGAGATTACAGAGGCTTCCATGTTTACACAAGGTCTGCTACGAGTGTTTACCTTTTCATTTCTGTGTCACTTTCTATTGCTTTGATCTGTCTCTCTATCCCTCTCTCTCTCTCTCTCTCTCTCTCTCTCTCTCTCTCTCCCCCTCTCTCTCTCTCTCTCTCTCTCTCTCCCTCTCTCTCTCTCTCTCTCTCTCTCTCTCTCTATCTATCTATCTATCTATCTATCTATCTTTCATCTATCTATCTATCTATCTATCTATCTATCTATCTATCTATCTATCTATCTATCTATCTATCTATCTATCTATCTATCTATCTATCTATCTATCTATCTATCTATCTATCTATCTATCTATCTATCTATCTATCTATCTATCTATCTATCTATCTATCTATCTATCTATCTATCTATCTATCTATCTATCTATCTATCTATCTATCTATCTATCTATCTATCTATCTATCTATCTATCTATCTATCTATCTATCTATCTATCTATCTATCTATCTATCTATCTATCTATCTATCTATCTATCTCTATGTATATATATATCTCTTATTAGGGGTGTGTATTGGCAATAATTTGGTGTTACGATATATCACAATGCCGGGGACACAATACTACTATATCCTGTGTCCTCCTATGTCTCCCTTCCATGTATCTCCTGTGTATTTTATTTTATTCGCTGGTTTCACTTCCAGTTTAAATGGAAGTGAGACCACCAACATTGACTGTTGCTCTGATGAAAGCGGCAGTAGACATCGAAACATGTCAGCAAAGGTAAAAACAAGCTGTTTTTACTTCTTGAGTAATGAAGCACCACAAAAAATTAAATCAGAAAAAAAACTGAACAAACATAACAAAGATATAAAATAATAGTTTCATTTTAATCATCATATCAAACATCAAAAGGGATTATTTTCTGTAGTCTATATGAAACATGTACATCAGCTGCTTTGTAAAGTCAGGAATTTTTAAATTTCATATGCAGGCACATTGTTGAGAATCTTTATAAAACTATAGATGCACCACATGTTTTTTTGTTGCTTTGTTTAAAAAAAATCTTTTGATATTGTGTTGAATTTTAGATGATTTCCCTTTTAAAAATTCACCATGCAATAAAACACAAAGTGAACCAGATTTTGGAAACCCTGCTTACTGGTGGGATCTTTGCAATGAGCTTAAAGGGACAATGTGTAGTTGTTACCGTTAATCTCTGGAAATATCCATCAGAATATTGTTGACAGTGAATGAAATGATTCCAAGTTGTTGAAAAATATTGGCGGCTTTGTAACACATAACCATAAAAACCAGGTCTAAAATACATAGAAGTGGGTCTAAATCTCTGGGCGATGCCATATTAGATGCCATGTTTCCTTCTACAGGAGCCTGTGAGGACAAAATGTATTTACTGATTTGTAACAAACAGCTACAAAACTTTCAACATTCTTAAATGCTGTTGTTTTACACATTTTCCTCTTCACTTGTTGCCAGTGATGAAAGGGAATCTGATGTGCTTGTTATTTAGCTTAAGTTTGCACTCCCCAGGGCATTTTGACCCTTATGGGTATCCGTTGGTGAGGTCCTACTCCAACACAAAAATACTGCACCCTATTGCCAGGAAAAATACACACTGTCACTTTAAACTCAACTCAAGTTTGTATCCATCTCAAGGGGCCTGTTAGAGTGACCCAGTGCCCAGGTGGCCCATATGACGGATCTGGGCTAGACCCTGATTTTAAACATGCTCTGGTAAGAGTTTTATTTGTTTTATAAGTTTGTTAGCATGAGAGCGGCAAAAAAGGCAAAAACTCCACAGATGCGATTGGAATAGAAAACAAAAGTAAAATGGCAAAAAGAAGACTGGCTGAGAAGCTTGAGTCTAATTGTATAAAGGTGTTCTCATAAAATGTGAACAAAGCTGAGGTGTAAATTGTTGAACATACAGAAGGTGATGACTAACTGGAAACAGGTGGGGGGTAATCAGCTAACAGGTGTGCAGAAAGATGGCAAAAAAAAAAAATCTGCTAAAGCATGCCAGATGAAAATCTACAGAAATGGAGAAAAAACAGAATGTGAGAATTTTTGATTATGTAAGTTCACGTCACGTGACACAATTTACTGTAGGGAGCAAAATAACCCAAGCCTCTCGGTGCCATTTTCACTCCCAAATGTACCGTCCCACCAGCAGTAGTGCAACTTCACAGGAACTTTTATTTGTTTT